ACTTTTAATTCCTTCTCCTCCCATTTCAACTATATTTTTATCTCATTTTTTCTCACACATGATCTTGTATTTTTTGATATACTAAACAATTCATCTTTTCTATACTCATCTGATCACTTTCCTCTTTTTATTTCTCTATACAAAATAAACTTTTTCAATCAAAACCTCTAACGCTTATTCAAAATAACATAAAATAACCAAACAAATTTTCTTTTCAATAAAACCACTTTACCTTAATAGGATTTTTTGCTGAAAAAATAGATCTTATTCTTAAAACTAATTTGAAGTACAAAAATTATATAGCAAAAGACCTCACTGTGTCTCAAAATGATCTTAATATCACTTAAGACTTCTTTGTTGATATAATCACCATCTCAGCTAAAAAACACATACCTAAACAAACTACTACTTCGCATCATAATGCCTTAATTACTTATTCAAACTCCTCAATTCACAAACAAATAAAAAAATTATACAAACTTTATTATAAGATAAACAAATCCCTTCTTCAATCACGATTATCACTATCCTCTTTTCCAATCTCATTTGATGAACATAAATCATATTATCAATCGCTTCTTAGCACTTTATCTTTATAGCTTTAATTGATAATCATTACATAGCTAACATATTACTAAACTATTTAATTGAACTCAAATCTAATATTATTAAACCCATACAAGCTAAACAATAAATTGTATCTAAAACTGAAAATAACGAAAGAATTTTGGAATTCATAAAACAAAGAAATGACAACTTTAAAGGCTCTTTCACAAAAATGATTGATACTTGTCTTGAAAGAAATTGAAAAGCTATTATTCTAGATCGAATTATGATTGATGCAGATACTTTAAAATAATATTTAGAACTAGTTTTAAATGAAATCAAAGTTCAAAAAGCATCTCAGTTAATGTTCTGCACAGATCAGATCAGATTAGATTTGGGCAAAATCTGATTTGATCTGAATCTAAATTTATATTCAAATCTGACAAATCTGAATCTGTATCTGAATCCATATCTGTATTCAATAGATCAAAAAATTTTTTTAACAAAAATCCACCTCCAACGTTCAGATCAGCATGTTATTATTAAAAATTAATTTTTTTAATAATAAATGCTGCGTCTGACTTTCAGAATGGCATTGTTATATAAAAAATTAATAAAAATTAATTTTTTTATTAATGAATTTCATGTCCGACTTTCAGGATGGCATTTAAATATTAAAAATTAATAAAATTAATTTTTCATTAATAAATACCGCGTTGACTTTTGAAGCGGTATTTTAATATAAAAATTAATAAAAATTAATTTTTTATTAATAAATACCGCATCTGACTTTCAGGACGGAAATTTATTATTAAACATTAATTTTTTTAATAATAAATGCCGCCTCTGACTTTCAGAGCGACATTTTAATATTAAAAATTATTAAAAATAAATTTTTAATAATAAATGTTGCATTGACTTTCAGGGCAGAATTTTATTATTAAACATTAATTTTTTTAATAATAAATGCTGCCTCTAACTTTCGGGATGACATTTTGTTATTAAAATTAATAAATGCTGCATCTGACTTTCAGAGCAACATTTTAATATTAAAAATTATTAAAAATAAATTTTTAATAATAAAGCTGCATCTGACTTTCAGAGTAGCATTTTAATATAAAAAATTAATAAAAATTAATTTTTTTATTAATAAATGTCGCATTTGACTTTCAGAACAGCATTTTTTATTTCAAATTAAACAAATTGAATCTGAATCCAAATCTGAATCTGACACATCAAATTGAATCCAAATCCAAATCCATCGGATTAAATCAAATCCAAATCTGAATCTGATTCAGATCTGATGAATTAAATCAAATCAAAATCTGAATTTGAATCTAATTCAAATCTGATAAATCCGATTCAATCTGATCTGTCAGATCTGGATCAGATTCAGATTGAATTGAATTTTTTGCAAAACACTAAAAATATCAATAGCTCAACAAACAGAAATGTCACTAATCGTAATTCAACTAATTTTAATTTAAATTGGAATAATTGAAAACAGTATTATGAACCCATTGAAACAATTGATAATGATACTTACAAGTATTATTAATATTCCTACACATAACGATTAGAAATCATTTATCTGATCATAAAACTTCTGGTCCTTTACAAATACCAAATGAAATGCTAAAGAAACTCAGCCTAAAAATAGACAGATTTTTATATACTATTATCTATGCTTGTTTCACTAGTTTACATACTTTCACATAATAAAACTTAGCATATGTGTATTCAATTTCAAATCGAAACCTTGAAACCAATCTTTTCAAACTTGGTCAGTTTTTAAATAAAAGGGTTTTATTAGTTTTCAGAATTTATTCCTATATAAACTAGATAATACATCCTATTACGCTTTTTGATACTATTCGCAAAGCCTTTGTCAAAATAGTTAAGGTAATCTTAGACATTTTAGCGGAAGGTGCAAAATTATCTTTGTATACAAGTAAACCTATTCTTGAAGCTAGTGTATAGTTATATTTATATATCAATTTTTAAAGTATCTCCCTTTCCAATGAAAAACCTGTTATATGCAAAATAATCTGTCAATCACTACAGTTAATGATAGTTCAGCGAGTATAGTGAAAATTATATCCTCTTTTGGTATATTGTTATATACACAAGCTGTAAATCTCAAAATTACAAAGTTTTCAGCCTTTCATAGTACAAGTTTCTGTCAGCACTATTTACTTATATGGTAAGTTTTGTGTTGCAACTAGATATTTTTCATATTTATTTGGGAAATATAGAGGTACTGGTTAATATATATATTTACTTCGATATATTGTATGCGAAAATTAAATTTTTCTGAGCTGAAGATTAATATTCTGAACGCAAAACTAAATATATGCTAACCAGAAATAAACACAATTATAATAAGAAATACTAATAATAATTTTGATCAAGTTAATACTCAATTATATGATGAGTTACATACTAGATAACACTCTTATAAGAGTGTTATTTAGTTGCATTGTAATGTTATCTAATTATGAGTATAATGTTATCTAGTTATGAATATAATGTTATTTAGTTACTGTTTTCAATGCTCTGTGAGCTTTTTATTACCTTGTAGCTATCCGCTTGCTTTCATTGCTCTGTGGCCTTTTTATTGCCTTGTAGCTATCCGCTTGCTTTCATTGCTCTGTGGCCTTTTTATTACTCTCTATATATCTGCTTGTTTTCATTTCTCTGACCTTTTTGTGATCAATTTGCTATGCCAGCATTAGTTGTAAAATTCATGTTGCGATCAGATAGTGCAGTCATATTACGTAACTTTGTTTTAGTTAATTTCAGCCTGAATTATTGTAATTTACTATGCCAAAATCAGCCTATATAATTGCCAGGAATTAGTGCTGAATTTGCAATCCATTTATTTTCCCTCTCAATTGCCATTTCTTGATTGCTAGATGAGACACAAAGTGCCGAATTGGTGAACTCACACAATCCTGCCTTTATATTCCTATTTGATTGCCAGATTGAAGCACGAAGTGCTGAATTTGCAATCCATCTATTTGCTGAAGATGTGTCGCAATCTATTTACTCACTTTTTGATTGCTGGTCAGCACATATAAAGTGCAATCCCACCTTTTATGACCCTTTTGATTGCTGAGGATGAGGCATGAAGTGCCGAATTAGTGACCCAGATGCGCAATTCTGCCTTCCATAACCCTTTTGATTGCTATGAATGAGGTATGAAGTGCTGAATTTGCAATTCATCTATTTATTAAAGATGTCACAATCTATTCGTTCACTTTTTGATTGCTGGTCAGGCACATGTGAAATGCCAGTATTGTGCTATTCTTCCAATTCTGCCTCTATGGCCTGTTCGATTGCCAAGAATGAGACACGAAGTACTGAATTAGTTCAGGTTATATTGCTTCCATACCTTTTTTCATGTATTCTCCTAAACCTTTCTGCCTTCTCGATCTCTTTCCTGCATATCTGCGGTAATACACCAAAGCATAACTTCTTATTTTCTTTTCTATATATTATTCTGCTTTGGTGTACTACCAAATTTATACCTTAGTTTTCGCTCGAGCCTTCCTAGATTTCTTTCTCGTATAGTTACTACTCTAGGATACTTTAGGATATTACTGCATCGATTACTTTTGGATACTACCACTGACTCAGTATTTTGCTAGCAAGCATATTCGCTCAAAATCTTATAAAATTTTTATTTTAAACTTTTCAAGTTTCTCTATTATTTTATACTGTTTTCTTGCATATACTACCATGCTACTTGCGTAAAAAAAGCCTGGGCCTGGCCCACTTGTTTGTTCTGAATTGCTTGAATTAATTTTTAGTAATCTCAAGATTGGAGATATACTATATTCCTATATTACTGTGAATCATCAATGGAATTTTGAAGCATTTTGAGTTATTTTAAAGCAAAAAAAAGGGAACTTCATGAAAATCTTGATTTTATCAAATATCAGTTAGATTGTAGTGAACAAGAAATAGCCTGTATTCATACAGTTCTCTATACTCCACGTTATGATTGGATTATAGCAGAAGAAGAAATTGCAAATTTTCATGCAGTAATCAAATCCTATATAAATAATCTTACAAGTATTCTTCCCTGTCTTATTAAGTCTTCTGTTTTACGAAATAAATTTCATGTACAATGGCAAAATCTTTATAAGTAAATGAAAAAATTGTTAAAAGATATCAATCTTCTTGATGATATCAATAATACATAAAAAGAGCGAACATATAGACAAGATTGTTGAGCTGTATTGTTAAGTATTCTTAGCTGAAATTGCAACTTCCTGCTAAGAATACTGGTAATATTTATTTTTTTACTTATGCAATAGTAGTATTAAAGTTTAATTTTACTTTCAAACTTGCACCTGAATTTGCATATATCCAGATTGATTTTTCTGACCATACTAGTCTGAAGCTGATGATCATTACCACAAATTTCTGTACGTGATATTCTATTATACCTATAAAATGCAAGACGATATTGACACTAAAGCCTTAGTATATGCCTGAAGACGGGAAGGTAGATGCTTAGCTAAAGTTAGTCCTAATACATTTTTATGGGCATGTAAGAAAAATCATCAATAGGAGGCATCATATAAAAATATGAAACAGAATTATAGATGGTGCAACATTTGCCCTAATGTACCAGAAAGAACATGCCGGTATATATTTGAGGATTTATTAAATAAAAAATTCTCACCCAGAAAACCTAAATTTTTAGAGGGTTTACATCTAGATGGATATAATGAAGAGCTAGGCTTGGCTTTCGAATACAATAGTAATCAACATTATCAAATTGTACCTTTTTTTACCCCACAAGGACAGATGAATCTAGATGTATAAATCTGGCGTAATTAGAAAAAGAAGGCATTATATTACAGAAAAGTAGTAATTCTTATTATAATTTCCTATTGTACTGTTGACTTAGAAACTTTTATAAGAAGCGCCTTGTACGCATTCAGTTATCTCCCAATACCCACCTAGGAGTCAACATAAGCTCTTCCTTAATATGCATTAATTGTTTTCTTACAAAGGGACACTAAGGTCCTAATTCGTCTAAATAATACGAAACAGGCATCAGAGGATTCTTTCCAATAACAATTCTTCAAATTTTATGTAGGCTAGGATACCATATTGGATCTGTTATTCTGTGCCGTTCGAAAGGATTGTTTTCTTATTCTTCAGAAATAAGCAAAAAATGGATAGTAGTACCCTTTGGTAGTTGTGGTTCATCAACACCTATTGGACGATTATATTTTACCGATGGCTTGGAATATACTCGCTTAAGTTTTGTGGCATCATTAGGACTTATTCTAATTAACTGAGTTAGGGTATCATTCATATTGTCAACAATTCTTCTTGCAAATCGTTTACATTCCCTACAACATTTACCAGTAGGCAGGAGAAACTCTATTGAATACTGATTTTTAAAAACTCTTAATTCAAATAATCCAGCATAACGGTCAACCATAGCCAAGCTTGTATGACTGAAACATGCTATAATCTTTCGGATTTCAACACTGTATTCGTTTATTAATAAAGTCACGTGTCTCATAAACTCAGTGCCTTTATCACATTGTAGTTTTTGAGGCCAGTTGAGGGGCTTATCGGAATTATCATATGGGCCTTTGCAATAGAAAGGGGGGAAACTGCTAGGAAAATTAATTTTACTTTATATGCCAAATATGATTTTTATGCTGAAATATGTTTAAATTTAGCATTAACTCATTTTTGATTTTTTCCGGCTGTTTCCCCCCTTTCTATTGCAAAGGCCCCATATATACTCTTAAATGCTTCTGCAACTTCTTCACTACTTTTTGATGTTAAAAATACAAAATCTTTAAATCTAGTCACGTAGTCTATAATTAATAATACATAATAAAATATTGGGCCATCATCCAGTAAATTTGTATCTATATCATCATATAGTATTTTGATCAAATTGCACTGGTGCATGGTATTAGGTTTCGTAATTTTAGAGTAGCTGACATAAGGTATATACTTCAGTGAAGGGTGGAAAATATGGTATCACCTGCTTATCAAGCCATTTTTTTACATCAGTAAATGGAAAGCTGAAACAAGCTTTTTTACAAGCGTCCTATAATCCCTTAGCATTTTGATAAAGACCATCAGAATGATAATATAGTTTTGTAAAACAAGATGCCAGTCTAAATCATGAGCTTTTTGAGGATCAATATTAATTGTAGATGTTTGTTTAGCTATGATTTGGTCTAGCTCTCGCGCTTTTTGAGGATCGATATAAATGATCGGTTCTCCCATTCCAATTTTTTATAATTATGAAAAAAAGCTGGCATCTATAAAATCAGATTCTATTTATTAGCTTTTCGAAGATAGCTATTAATGACTATCAATGCATTTTTTATATCATCAGTATAATGACAGGACAAAAATATGTTTCTTAAATAAGTATTCTACTTTTCAAATATTATGGAATATTATGAACTATGCAAATTAAACAAAACTATACCTTCAAAAAAACAGAATCCATTTGCTTCTAAACATCCATTTAGACTAGAAGTTGCAGGCATATTTGAGTCTGAAAAGACGAGAATGATAGTACATCTGCTTATAGGAAGTAAATATCTAAAAATATATTTGTGAATGTCTGGTGAAAGGCATGGTCATAAAATACCAAAAGGCGGAAGCAAAAATTTTGGTGAAAGATACAGTCCCCGGTGAAAAGAATGGCGGAAACGAATTTTTATGGTATGTACTAACTTTATTTTTATTGTAATTATTTTTTATTTATTTACAAGACAATCACTAACGGCTACTTTTTTATTATTTAATTAATATTTGGTGTGTCCTCCTTCTGCATCGATACATGCTTTAACCCAGTTTGGCATGCTCTCAATACATCGAAGTAATACGGTATCATCAAGATCGTCTCATTCCTGCCGGATTGTATTAAGAAATACATCGCAGGTAATATTTTTTTTTTGCCACTAAATATTTGACCTTTTTCTTCATTTTTCCCTTTAATACAGCCCATAATTTTTTGATAGGGTTCAAATCTGGGCTGTAAGAAGGCAAAGAAAGAACTTGTCCTGGAAGATGTTTTTTCAAATCACGCTGAACATCTCGTAAGGTATGTTTTGGATCATTATCTTGTTGGAAGATCTAGCTGTGACCGCATATCATACTCGCGTTATCATACAAATGGTCATCCAAGATTTTTCGATACAAATGACAATCCAAATTTTCAGTAAACAAATGAATGCCAATTTTTCCTTTAGCACAAATCGCTGCCCAAATATGAACCTTGAATGGATGCTTTACCATGGGGGCAATTGGTTGCGCATTATGAGACTATGCACACATGGTATTTCTAAACATATGGAGTGTTGTTTCATCAGAAAAAACAACTTTCTTTCAGTTGTAACGCGAATGATCACATGACCAAGACAACCAAAAATCCTTCGCTTTTTGGGTCAAGAGAGGAACCTTTCTTGGAAGAATAGAAACATAACCAAGTTTTTTAAGCTCACGACGTATAGTACGTTTACTAACATACTAACATCAAGGTTGGAATCATTTTCTTCCAATTTGGTCTTAAGTTCACCTGCTGTAGTAAAATGATTATGTTGTAGAATTTTTCCAATATGGCGACGTTGATTTGAGGCCAATTTTCTTGGACGGCCAGAAGAGTGACTGATTGAAATATT